TATATATATATATATATATATATATATATATATATATATATATATATATATATATATATATATATATATATATATATATATATATATATATATATATATATATATATATATATATATATATATATATATATATATATATATATATATATATATATATATATATATATATATATATATATATATATATATATATATATATATATATATATATATATATAATGAATTTACATATTTCTTCTTGTACAATCTCAATCATGGTCCACACCTTTTTCTCGTGGAGAACGTCGACTTCACATGCTCTCTTTTTTTTTAATGTGATTTTGGCTTTTATTAATACTCCTATAATCAACTTCACATGGCTCCAATTAAGTATACTGCCATTGCCATATTATTTTAGTGCAAAAATCAGACAATGTCCTCTGGTCAACTAATTTGAATTGCAAAGTATCTCAAATACCTAGGTAAATTATTTTGATTTACAAATCTGGTCGGTCAAGCTTGACTTTTTTTTCTGAAATTATGTTATGTATTTTAACCTTCTTCCCTTTTTACTACTCTTTCTCCCTTATCGAAAAATATTTAAATGTTACTTTCTATTTTCCTCTTATTCTCCAGCTACTCTAAAGAAGGAGAATGGGAAACTTTCAACTTCTCTTTGTTCTTATATTATCATTCTTTTTGTCACAATTTTATGCCCAAGAATCCTTTCTCCACTGTATTTCTAGTCAATTTTCTGAAAGTAACATCACAGGAGTACTTATCTATGCTCCAAAATCACCAGCATATTCATCGATTATCGAACATGCCCAGAAAAATCCAAGATGGTTGAATTCTTCATCAGCACATCCGCTTTTAATTATTGTCCCTCGTAAAGAAAATGAACTTAAGCCTGTCATTCTTTGCAGCAAAAAGTTTGACCTGCAAATTAGAGTGTTAGGTGGTGGTCATGACTATGAAGGTCTCTCTTTTCGTGCTGAATCGCGATTTATCATGATTGATATGAGTAATCTTAATGAGATCGATATTGATTTAGAGGAAGAAGTGGCCTGGATTCAAGCAGGGGCAACATTGGGACAATTATACTATGAAATTGCAAAGAAAAGCAGAGTACATGCATTTCCAGGAGGTATATGTTATACTACTGGCAGTGGTGGACTAATTAGTGGTGGAGGATTAGGTTCTTTGATGAGGAAATTCGGGCTTGCAGCAGATAATGTTGTCGATGCTCGTGTAATGGATGTTAATGGAAGAATTCTTGACAGAAAATCAATGGGAGAAGACTTTTTTTGGGCCATAAGAGGAGGTGGAGGTTCAAGTTTTGGGATCATTCTTGCTTGGAAACTCAAGCTGGTTCATGTCCCTGAGAAGGTTTCTGTTTTCAGGGTTCATCGAATGCTCGAGGGAAATGCTATAAATCTCCTCCAGCAATGGCAACATACATCATATTTACTACCTAAAGAGTTCTTCCTCAGAATGATAATGCAAAATGATGGAGAAAGAAACGAAAAGAAAGTCAAAGTCACATTTGAAGGACTATTTCTTGGGACAGTTGATGAGTTAATTCCTATTGTTAGTGATAAATTTCCGGAGTTTAATTTGGAAATCAAAGATTTCTTCCAAGAACCAGTGATAAATTGCACTGAGAGACCTTGCTTGAAGAAAGAATGTCATGAAGTTCCCTGGATCGGGTCGGTCTTGTTTTTGTACAACAAAGAAGTTGATGAATCACTTGAGGTCCTTTTGGATAACAGTGTTCCTGTATATAAAAATTACTTCAAGGGAACATCTGATTTTGTGAAGACTCCGATTCCTGATAAGGGTTGGAAAATGATTGAAAGATTGTTTCTTGAAGAGGACAGGCCTATGATAATAGTAGAACCATTGAGTGGAAGGATAGATGAATTTTCAGAATCTGAACTTCCTTTCCCTCACAGAAAGGGAAATTTGTACAACATTCAGCACTTAGTGAATTGGAACGATAACAGTGAGAACGTATCGAGCAAAAAGATTGGATGGATGAGAAAATTTTACAAGGAAATGGAGCCATTTGTTGCCAATTCTCCCAGGACTGCCTATACCAATTACAGGGATCTTGATTTTGGGACTAACCAAGAAGACTATAGCTATTCGAAGGCCAAAATCTGGGGTGAGAAGTATTTCAAAGGCAACTTTGAGAGGTTAGCTAAAGTGAAGAGTATGGTTGATCCGGAGAACTTTTTCAGATACCAGCAAAGCATTCCACCTTTTGCTACTCCAGGACTGATGAATTTAATCGAAGAAGCATGGCCGAGCACTTACATTCCATCCGAATTACAGGTATTCTGATATGAACTTCTTGCAAATGTATCCACAAAGGCAAAAGTGAGTACAAATGTACTCTGGATGAAAATGTGAACTTGATGAGTTCGAAGTTAAGTTCTTACGTTGAATCCATTGTACTTTTAAAATTATGGGTTCAAAATTTAATATTTGTTGAAATATTAGTACGTAATTTTTTGCACATGTATTTATGTTCTGGTGTAAAAAATATTGAGATAAGTGGAGTCTATTAAAACCTGACTCCATTTCTTATCATTAATAAAAAGAAAATAACGTTTCGACATTTTGAAGCAGTGGATTTATTTAGATTCATTTGAGTCCCTTAAATTTCAAAATGGTTTATGAATTAACATTGAATTGGAGTGCATTGAATTCATAAACTTATATACTACATTCAATTACATTTAAGTCCTCTAGATCAAAGTCGAACTGTTGAATTAATTCAGAAACTAATATAGTGAGTACATTCAAATTCATCTCTATAAATTGGATTATAGACTTGAGAATATTCACTTTCTTTCCCCTCAAAGCATGATAGCTCATTCTGAATCCCTTAATTATTTTAGATAGCAATTTCCTGTTTAAAAAAAATGAGAAGCTTTCAAATTCTCTCTGTTTTATTCTTTTCACTCTTTTTGGCAAAATGTTACTCCAAAAAAGAAGGTTTTCTTCATTGTCTTACCAAATACTCCCAAAAAAACGTTACGAAAAACATTTACTCCCCAAATTCTCCAACTTATTTATCTATCCTGGAATATGCCCAGAAAAACCCCAGATGGTTCAATTCTTCACATCCGATTTTCATTGCATCCCCTAGGAAAGAATCAGAAATCAGGCCTGTCATTCTTTGTAGTAAAAAAATAGGCCTAGAAATCACGATTAAAAGCGGTGGCCATGACTATGAAGGCATATCTTATCGCTCTGAATCCCCTTTTGTTATGCTTGATTTAAGCAATCTTAATAAAATCAAGATTAATTTAAAGGAAGAAACAGTTTGGGTTCAAACAGGGGCGACCATCGGCCAGCTTTACTATGCAATTGCCAAGAAAAGTAAAGTTCATGGATTTCCAGGCGGTGTATGCTTCAGTGTTGGCACTGGTGGAATGATTAGTGGTGGTGGGCTCGGTGCATTGATGAGGAAATTTGGCCTGGCAGCTGATAACGTTGTAGATGCTCGCGTAATGGATGTTAAAGGAAAAATTCTTGACAGAGAGAAAAACAAAGATTTGTTTTGGGCGATAAGAGGAGGTGGAGGAGCAAGTTTCGGTGTTATTCTAGCCTGGAAACTAAAATTGGTTCGTGTTCCTGAAAAGCTTACTGTTTTCACTATTCGTAGGAAATTAGAGGGTAACCGAAATCTCCTCCAAAAATGGGAAAACATATCACATCAACTCCCTGAAGATTTGTTCATTAGAGCTGTTGTTCAAAATCGCAGAACATCAGAAGGAAATGTTACTAAAAAGTATGTTGAATTCTATTTTCAAGCACAATATGTTGGTCCTGTTGACGAATTAATTCCTCTCCTGAAACAATACTTCCCTGAGTTTAATTTGGAGCGAAAAGATTGCTTCCAAGAGAATACTACTGCTCAAGCAGAGAAAGAATGTCACGAAGTCCCCTGGATCGGATCAGTCTTACATTTATTTTTCAGAAAACCAAATGATTCACCTAAAGTTTTGCTAGAAAAGAGAACTCCAACACGGAAAAATTTCAACAAAGGGACATCTGATTTTGTGAAGACTCCAATTCCGGAAAGTGGTTGGGAAATGATAGAAAGACTGCTTTTGGAAGAAGAAAGAGTTCAGATGATAATGGAGCCATTAGGTGGGAAATTAGATAAAATATCAGAATCGGAAATTCCATTCCCTCATAGAAAGGGAAATTTGTATACTATTCAGTACTTGGTGAACTGGGGAGATAACAGTGAGAGTATATCAAGCCAGAAGATAGCATGGTTGAGGAAATTTTACAAGGAAATGGAGCCATATGTTGCAAAATCTCCGAGAACGGCTTACCTGAATTACAGGGACTTTGGTTTAGGTACAAATGAAAAGGATTACAGCTATTCCAAGGCCAAAATATGGGGTGAAAAGTATTTCAAGGGCAATTTTGAGAGGCTGGCTAAAGTGAAGAGGAAGGTGGATCCAAAAAATTTCTTTAGAAGTGAACAAAGTGTACCACCTTTTCATTTATCGCACTGATATAGCTGAAGAAGATTAGATTCCACGTAAGCTAATGAACTAATTAACACTCCAAGACTAAAGAATCATGATGACAAAAAGGAGGAACAAATCTTGAATGCACATTTTTTAAATATTAACTCGCATACATTTACACCAAAACAATAAATACAGAAGTTGTGTTTTCTAAGTTCTATGTATTCTTAGTTTAATTTTAAATTACTAATTCATATAAATAACAGCTGCAGTAACTTTTTAGTACTCGGGAAAGTCTTGCTAAATATATCTCTTGTATTTTGTGTTTACTGTTTTAGTATAAATGTAGAGTGCGAATAAGTATTTATCCTCTTAGAGCAACACCTTTTATTTAAAACTGAAACTTCTCTGTAATATCATAATTACAATTTGTGGCACAAGCACTAACTGGCTTGTCTAATAATATATATATATATATATATGAGACATGTGAGTAAAAGGACTCTTCAATTTGTAAAATTTCAGCTATATATTAGTAGAATAAGATGGAATACTTTGTTCATTTCTGAAAAAATTGCTGGGATCCACCTTACTCTTCACTTTAGCCAATCTCTCGAAGTTGCCACTAAAATACTTTTCACCCCATATTTTGGCCTTGGAATAGCTGTAGTCCTCTGAATTTGTCCCAAAATCAAGGTCCCTGTAGTTCAGATAAGCACTTCTTGGAGAGTTTGCAACATATGGCTCCATTTCCTTGTAAAGTTTCCTCAGACATCCTATCTTCTGGCTTGATATACTCTCACTGTTATCGCTCCAGTAGTTCAAGTACTGAATATTGTACAAATTCCCTTTTCTATGAGGGAATGGAATTTCAGATTCTGATATTTCATCGAATTTCGCACCCATTGGCTCAAAAATTATCTGGGGACTTTCTTCTTCCAAGAACAGTCTTTCTATCTTTCCCAACCACTTTCCGGAATTGGAGTTTTCACAAAATCAGACGTCCCTTTGTCGTAACTTTTCTTTGTTGGAATACTCATTTCTAGCAAACTTTCAGGTGCATCAGTTAGTTTTCTGAAATAGAAATATAAGATTGACTGAATCCAGGAAACTTCATGGCATTCTTTCTCCGCACCAGCAGTAGTAATCTTTTCGCTCCAAATTGAACTCAGGGAACTACTGTTTAAGCAGGGGAATTAACTTATCAACAGGTCCAACATACTGTGCCTGAAATGAGAATTCCACATGCTTTTTGGTATCATTTCCTGCTGAGGAGACAGCATTTTGAATAATAATTCTGATTAACAAATCTTCAGGGAGTTGATGTGCTATGTTTTCCCATTTTTGGAGGAGATTTAGGTTACCCTCTAACTTCCTACGAATCGTGAAAACAGTAAGCTTCTCTGGAATACGAACCAATTTTAGTTTCCATGCTAGAATAACACCGAAACTTGCCCCTCCACCTCCTCCTATCGCCCAAAACAAATCTTAATTCATCTTTCTGTCAAGAAATTTTTCCATTGACATCCATCACACGTGCATCTACAACGTTATCAGCTGCCAGGCCGAATTTTCTCATCAATGCGCCAATCCCACCACCACTGATGATTCCACCAGTGCCAATACTGAAACAGACACCACTTGGAAATGCATGAACTTTACTTTTCTTTGCAATTGCATAGTAAAGTTGGCCGAGGGTCGCCCCTGTTTGAACCCAAACTGTTTCTTCATTTAAATCAATATTGATTTTGTATAGATTGCTTAAATCAAGCATAACAAACGGGGATTTGGAGCGATAAGATATGTCTTCATAGTCGTGGCCACCGCTTTTGATTTTTGATTTGTAGGCCTATTTTTTTACTACAAAGAATGACAGGCCTGATTTCTGATTCTTCCTTAGGGGAAGCAATGAAATTGGGATGTGAAGAATTCGACCATCTTGGATTTTTTTGGGCATATTCCAGGATAGATGAATAAGTTGGAGAATTTGGGGTGTAAACATTTTGTGTAGTGTTGTTTTTGGAAAGACAAAGAAGAAAGTCTTCTTGTTTGGAGTAACATTTTGCCAAAAAGAGTGAAAAGAGTAAAACAAAGAGAATTTGAATGCTACCCATTTCTTTTCTTTGGAATAGAAAAATTGCTATCTAAAAGACTTGAAAGGGATTCAAAACTACAAAGAAAGAGCAATCATTGTTTTGAGGGGAAAGAAGATGAATTTGTTCATAAGTAACCTTTCAAATACTCCTATTATAAGATTAAGTGAGGGGATGTTTGATTACTGGTCAAAGTTATACACCTTTTCCATTCATTCTATCTAAGAAAAAGACAAATAATACAAAAATTAATAATAGAAGTATTACATTTATTAGCTACCCATGAATTAGTAATACAGTGTAAATTATACATACTTCAATGGACTATAATAGTAGTTCTGGATTTATTCAACAATTTGACTTGGACACAAAATACGTATTTGAATGCATGGTAACTCAATGCTATTATCTCTGGTCCATGTTAAGTGAATCATAGAAATATGACAAATTTCTTGAGAAAAATATTTAAAATGTAAATTAAAGGCTATTTTCCACTCACTTTTTTTAGTTATTTTTAAATTATTCTCTCAGGAAATGTAAAGTAGATAACAACCTCATTAAAAAAAAGAAAATATATTTAAAAAAAATTGTTAAACTTAAAAAAACTCACTTATTTTAAATTATGAAAAATATTTCAACGGTTCACTTAATATGGATTAAAGGGAGCAACTCATAAACCATTTAATATTAAAATTCAAATCAAAGGACTCAAATGAATTTAAAATAAATTATTCGTTTCAAGATATGTTCTATATCCGCGTATTCAGCTTGCAAGATTTGATCTTATCATAAATATAATACTATTTGGTTTTGGGAATCATTTCAATTAATCTTAAGGTGGTAGGTAATTTCTCCCACGTGGACATTACAAAAATGTTTTTTTTCCTCGATCCCATTATTCAGCTGGGAAGATTTGTACAGTTCCCTACATACAAAATAAATAGTGTTTTTCTTTATATGTTATTTCAAAACAAGTGATATTTTACATAAAAATTACCTTTATTTTAATACATAAAAATTTACATTATTAAAGAATAATTTATTTCTTCAAGACATTTAATTAAAGATAAGATAGTAACACACTTCTTATTTCTAGAACTGAGCAATTTTTTTAAGGAATATGTTCAAGCAAAATAGTACATTTTAAAAACAGGAGGAGTATGACACTATACTTAAACTTATGTTTCAATGACGGATCTCAAACTAATGTTTGGGTTCTAGGATTCTCTCCCAGGCCTTGATAAAATGAGAAAATAGCTAAAAGTTAGTCTAAAAAAGACATATTTTTTTATTTGCTAAAAATATTTAATGATATTATAACATTTTAATACTCTTTTTAAGGGTAAATTTTTTTTTTGAACTTCTTATGCTTCTGCCCTTTTCATATGATACTTGTCAAAATGTTATTGAAGAAGACTTCCCTGAGTGCTAAAAGATTACCGTATATGTTATTTTATTGGACTTAATTAATTTATTGTTTTGGTGTAAATATATGTGAGTTCATATTTATTGTTTGAGCAACAGTCAAAAGTTTGTTTAGCATTTATAGCACATAGTACAAAATCTTGCACGGACTACACATTATATCAATATGATAACTGATAAGGAGTTACACTTTGTTCACTTCTAAAGAAATTTTTGGGATCTACTTTACTCTTCACTTTAGCCAGTCTCTCAAAATTGCCTTTGAAATACTTTTCACCCCATATTTTGGCCTTGGAATAGCTGTAGTCCTCTTCATTTGTTCCCAAACCAAAGTCCCTGTAATTCAGATAAGCACTTCTTGGAGATTTTGCAACATATGGCTCCATTTCCTTGTACAATTTCCTTATCCATCCTATTTTCTGGCTTGATATGCTCTCACTGTTATCGTCCCAGCTCACAAAGTACTGAATAGTATACAAATTCCCTTTTCTATGAGGAAATGGAATTTCAGATTCAGAAATTTCATACATTTTCCCACCGAATGGCTCAAAAACCATCTGAGGTCTTTCTTCTTCCCGAAACAATTTTTCTACCATTTCCCAACCACTTTCTGGAATTGGAGTCTTCACGAAATCAGATGTTCCTTTGTGATAATCCTTGTGTGTTGGAATACTCTTTTCTAGCAAAACTTCAAGTGAATCATTTGGGTTTCTCCAAGAGAAATACAACACTGATCTGATCCAGGGAACTTCGAAGCATTCTTTCTCTGCATCAGCAGTAATATTCTCTTTGAAGCAATCTTTTCGCTCCAAATTAAACTCAGGGAAGTATTGATTGAGCAGAGGAATTAATTCGTCAACAGGCCCAATATATTGCCCCTGGATATAGAATCCCACATGGTTTTTGGTATCATTTCCTGCTGAAAATACGCCTTTTTGAACAAACGCCCTGACAAACAAATCTTCAGGTAGTTGATGTGCTATGTTTTCCCATTTTCGGAGGAGAGTTAAGTTACCTTCTAACTCCCTACGAATCGTGAAAACAGTAACCTTTTCAGGAACCCGAACCAATTTTAGTTTCCATGCTAGAATAACACCGAAACTTGCTCCCCCACCTCCTCTTATCGCCCAAAACAAATCTTCATTCATTTTTCTGTCAAGAATTTTTCCATTGACATCCATCACACGTGCATCTACAACGTTATCAGCTGCCAGGCCGAATTTCCTCATCAATGCACCGAGCCCACCACCACTGATGATTCCGCCAGTGCCAACACTGAAGCAGACACCGGCTGGAAATGCATGAACTTTACTTTTCTTGGCAATTGCATAGTAAAGCTGGCCAAGGGTCGCCCCTGTTTGAACCCAAATTGTTTCTTCCTTTAAATCAATCTTGATTTTGTTAAGATTGCCTAAATCAAGCATAACAAAAGGGGATTCAGAGCGAAAAGATATGCCTTCATAGTCGTGGCCACCACTTTTGATCTTGATTTGTAGGCCTGTTTTTTTACTACAAAGAATGACAGGCCTGATTTCTGATTCTTCCTTAGGGGAGGCAATGAAATTGGGATGGGAAGAATTCAACCATCTGGGATTTTTTTGGGCATATTCCAGGATAGATGAATAAATTGGGGAGCCTGGGGTGTAAATGTTTTGTGTAATGTTTATTTCAGAATATTTAGAAAGACACTGGACAAAATATTCTTCTTTGGAGTAACAACATTTTGCCAAAAAGAGTGAAAAGAACAGAACAGAGAAAATTTGAAGGCTACCCATTTCTTATAAAAAAAAAAAAAAAGGTGATTCAGGATTATATATATAAAGAATGAGTTACCTTGCTTTAAGGGGACAGATATGAATTTTCTCATGTCTATCCCAGTAATCCATTTATAGAGATAAATTTACTCATGTATATCACCATAATCTGATTTACTTTAGGGACCTTTAATTTATATGAGTTAATTTCTTTCATGACCACTCAACTAATCGTTTTTATCTCATAAAGCACTTAACTTTATTTTATAACACAAAAATCATTCAACATATGGTAATTATATCAGAAAGTCACTTAACTTTGATTTTTAATAGGCAATTCGTCCAACTATTGGCATTTTAACTATCGTAGATGAAATAACAATAGTTGAGTGATTTCTCTGAATGACTTTATGAGACAATTACTATTAGTTTAGTGATTTTTGCGTTACAAATAAAGTTGAGTACTTTATGAAATAAAAGCTATTAGTCGATATGAGGAATTGACTCCGATTTATAGAGATGAATTTAGTGTATCTGAATGCACTATATTTGACCCATAGGACTAATGTATATTAGTTGCTGATGTAATGTATTTCAATTCAATGTTAATTCATAAACCTATTTAGAAATTTAAAGGACTCAAATGAATTTAGAATGAATGCATCGTTCCAAAATGTTCATTCCCAAAAATCATAACCAAAACTCTTGTATAAATCTAGAGAAAAGGATGTTTATATAAATATTTGGTTTTAGGGTCATTTCAATTAATCTCCTAGATCCCAATATTCATTTGGGAAGACTTGTACAATGAACTATCCATAAACATATATTTTAATTAGGATTTCAATTAATGTTTGGGTTCTAGAAAGGGAAAATAAATAAATTACCTCCCAAAAGTTGTCCCGGCAATTCGATTTCACACTTTAATTTTTTGGGTATTTTTTAGGGAAAATTGTATATAATAGCAAACTATTAATTCAAATTAAATGCTATAAATATAGTTTGATTTAATTGTACCCAATAGCAAACTGTTGCTATTTCACCTCTCTCATGGTGAATCTCTCTCGCCACTCTCGTTCTCTCCCTCGCCTCTCTCGTTCTCTCCCTCGCCTCTCTCGTTCTCTCCCTCGCCTCTCTCGTTCTCTCCCTCGCCTCTCTCGTTCTCTCCCTCGCCTCTCTCGTTCTCTCCCTCGCCTCTCTCGTTCTCTCCCTCGCCTCTCTCGTTCTCTCCCTCGCCTCTCTCGTTCTCTCCCTCGCCTCTCTCGTTCTCTCCCTCGCCTCTCTCGTTCTCTCCCTCGCCTCTCTCGTTCTCTCCCTCGCCTCTCTCGTTCTCTCCCTCGCCTCTCTCGTTCTCTCCCTCGCCTCTCTCGTTCTCTCCCTCGCCTCTCTCGTTCTCTCCCTCGCCTCTCTCGTTCTCTCCCTCGCCTCTCTCGTTCTCTCCCTCGCCTCTCTCGTTCTCTCCCTCGCCTCTCTCGTTCTCTCCCTCGCCTCTCTCGTTCTCT